GTCCGGATGTGCGTGCGAATGGGCGCGTGGATGTGTGCGGGTGTAGATGTGAGTGCTTGCGTGTGTGTGCGTGCGGAACCAGGTGCCACATCGTGGAAAATCGTCGCAAGCTATGTCAACATCATACACGTGTGTCAGAACAACTTGAGCTCTTTGTCTCTCTCGCTCTCACTCTTTCTTTCTCGTTTCGCTCGCTCTCACTCTCTCTCCGATCCCTCTTCTCTTTCCCAGTTCTGTGCTCAAGTATGTACTACTTGCGCGTTGCAGTGTGCGCAGGGACAGATTGTGACGCGCACGTTGGCTCTTCATGTTCAACTTATTCTGTCGGGTGGATTGTGGTGCTGATGGTAGGCGAGATGGTTCTTCTCAAGTGGTCTGATCCTAGAGCGAGACAATGCCCGTGCACGATGTGGACGGAAAGACAGTGGCCCGGCAATGACGCCGACGGCGAGCACGCTTCAGCTTCCGTGGCGAAAGCGCGACGAGGGAGACCGTTCGTTCTCAGAATCTTCGACCTGGCAACGGCAGGGGTCACCTAGGCGTAGCTTTTCCTGTCGAAGAGCAAAAGCACCGTTGCCCTTTCACTTCAGGACCAGTCATTGGGGCCGATCTTTGGACTGCACCCTATTCGGAATGTGTGCGTCCGCGTGCTTCCAAGCTAATGAGCTAATGGTGTCTGAGTTTCTGGGCTGCACAGCTGAACTTTACAGAAGAACCGTGCAACTGCTATGCGTGATGGTCCAACGAAGCGGCCACAGGGTCACACAGATGTACTCGCAGGATGTTGCTTGTGACTTCTGGAAGATTATGGAATTACTGCAATTTGTGCAATGTTTCGTGCGGTGGTTATCTTGGCTGTGTAAGCCGACGTTTCCGCAGATACACCGGTTAGGTACATGCTGTCTATATGAGTTCTTTCTTTTCTTTGTTTTCTTCTTTGTGTTCTTCTTTATATATATATACACATATATATATATATATATATTTCTTTTTGATCTTAGTTTCTTGCTTTTCTTCTTTTCTTCTTTCTTTTATTATTTCTTTTCTTTGCGTTCTTCTGTAATTTCTTCTTTTTGATCGTTATTTTCTTCTTTCGGAGCTTGATCGATGCAGGTTGGCGGCCCACGTGTTGCCAAAGATCACAAATTGCTGTCGGGTGCCCAGAAGAGGGATTCAGAATCTCGGGAAACAATGTGAAAATAATTGTGACGGAAGGATTTCCTCACCATGTTGGTTTCACACCCTGCATCTATCAGTAAGTTCCATGGACATGTTGGCCCTGAAGGGAATCCAAGGATTCGTGCGTGGAGTTTCGCAAACAAAGTGGGCACATGGGCCCACATGTGTGCTCCACAACAACGGTTGTTCAAGAGTCTGTAGGAGCCATAAAGTTCCGTTGATCCTCTACAGGAGTCATCCAGTGGGTCTCCCAGAGCAAAGCTGAGGAATACCAAGCTTCCAGCATGCACATCCGGTCCGTGAAGGTCCATGGGGGCCATAGTCCAAAGCCAGTCCACGGGAGGTTCGTCATGCAGGGGTCGGCAGGAACATGATGGAGCATGTCTAAAGGGCGAATAGAAGTGCCGATAGACCTACTCGTAGAAAGTCCGGTCCTTAGGCCCGGAGGGGTCCTTTTTAGGAGACACCAACAGGAACACTTTTTTTGTTGGTGGAACTATGGGAGGGCCATTGGGCCATCCATGGGTTTAATCGGGCGTCCACACGGTGCAAATAGTACCGATTCGGTGTCCTCTATGGTCGCACCCCGGTCGCCACCAGGCCAAAACATCCTGAACCACTTTGCTTCACATTCAGGTCGTGCTTGCAGCCAGGACTGAGCTCTTGAATGCGCTCGCCTCTTGTAGCCGAGCTGTGGCTACAGCTTTTCTCGGTGGATCCGGCTTGCTGTTGGTGTTGTCGCTCATGCTGTTTCCACAAGTATACTTCGTCCACATGTCCACAACGTTGTGCTGGAATCCGCCTTCCGCCTTTTTTTTCCTTCCCGATTTGGCCTGGGCACAAGAGGATCCTGACAGACACCATCCGGCTCAGAGCTGCAGCTGAAAACCATTGAAAACCTCAAGCAAGCTGGAATGCTGCAGGACACTTTGTCCTCAGTCCGAATCCCGCTGATAGCTGTACGAGACTTGAGCGTTGTGAAAGACATCGCCGTGCACAAGTCTCCCCCTCCTTTCTCTGAAAGAGTCGCAGGAGGGGAAACTCAAGTGAGATGAACCATCGAGTCAACGAGCCTGCACTTGCACTGGGTCCTGCTCTCTGCCTGCGAAAAGTCGCGGTCCACTTGCCGCACTTGCCTCCAGTCGGAGATTCGCCACTGATGACATCATTCGGTAACTCTGCTGCCTGCCGCTGGGCGACGCCCTGTCGCAGCGAAGTGAAGTGGCCATCTTGCATCATCTTGCCATCTCGCAGAGTCTTGGCTCGACGATCTTTTAGCGCCTTAGAGGCGTAAGGGCGACCGAAGACTCCATCGCTACTCATGCCGAAGCGCCTTGGATGCAGCTGGAGGGATGGCTGAGGGCTGAGGGCTGAGGGCTTCTCTCGGCTTCACAACGGAGTGTTCAGCTGCCGCTTGCGCTTCCTGCAGTGGTGCTTCAACGGTGATTCCTCGCGCCCAAGGTCGGGGCACGGCGTCTCTGGTGGTGGCTCGTTTGGTGGTGGAGGTCACGGCGTGTCTGGCGGTGGAGGTCACGTGTCTGGTGGTGGAAGCGTGGGGGGTGGTGCTGCATTCGACGATGGCTGCGGTGTCTTGTCGGCAGCTCGTGCCCCAATCCCAAGCAGCCGCTATGCAATGTGGCCAAAAACCTCAAAACTCCAGATGCCAGCGATGTGACGCCGTTGTTCTTGCCGAGGTGGAGCCTGCGGAGCGCTGTGCTTCTCGGCTGAGTCTTCGATGCGCAAGCATTTTTTTTGGCGCCTCTTGCAACCTCTGTCAACTTGCAGACCCGAGGCTTCGAAGCCGACCCCGAACTCGCCAGGACGGAAGAACGCTGGGCTTCTTGCCAGAAGTGGTCACAAGGGCCGTGGGGCCACTGCGTAGTTTGAGTTTTTGGTTTTGGGCGGTTTGGTCTGATGACTTTGCCAGCTGAGACCTACGTCGGTGCAGGCCAGGGCCATGCCATGCGTATGCGTGCACCCGAACCCGTACGTACGTCGTTGAACAAGGGCGCATGACGTGTTTGCAGCTGTTGACCGTTGGCGAGCCTTGGAAATCCGGACAACTTCTGAAAGTAGCTGCTCAGTAGCTGCTGCCCGCGCAGGTCAGGGAACTTACACTCAGGCTTCCAGCATGGACTACGTCGGACATGGGCCGCCCTGCAAGATTCAGACGTGTCGTTTTTTGCTTTTTTCAAGTAGCAAACCCAAAGCCCTGCACTCCGAGCAGTGCCGGTGGAGGGCCGGTACTGTAGCCCATGTAGCCAATTTGCCAGTCGCGGCGACTTCGAGAAGGAGAAGGTGACTGTGGGCGGCGGTGCTTTGGCTTAGCTGGAAGGATGTGGGTCGTGTTGCACAGCTCGCAGCTCAGGTGTGCGGCCAGCACCTCAATATCTGTCGCACGCAGATCGCAGGCCATTGTAGGCTCCGGCTGCAACTTCTGGGCCTCAAGGTTCCGGGCAATGTGCGCGTTCTTCCTGTGCTTCCTGCTCTTTGTGATTCTTGGGCTCCTGATCTACCTGTTTTGGTCGGGGGCCCGGGCAGAGGCTCAGTGCAAGCTTTAGAGCGCTTGAGCGCGCTGCGCGCACTTTAGCGCGCACCTGCTTTGCACACGCTTTGCTGCGTTCTCTGCTCCTCGAGGCCCTTCTACAGCAGCCCGGGAGCTGACGTGATCGCGTCGGCCCCAGTCTCTATTGCATCACCGGGCGAGCAGCGCGAGCCCGGCTCGATTTCAGAAGAAGACACGGAAGCACGGGAGAAGCATGGAGGACCCCTGCGCGGCGACCACGGCGGTGGGCGCCATGCCGGCCATGCAGCGCGAGGCCTGCTGCGCGCAAGGCTACGGGGCCTTCTGCACGGCGACGAAAGCACCGGTCATCATTCATGACAAGCTCCTCGGCAACGGATCCTCTTGTGCTGTCTCGTAGGAATGTAGGACGATGTAGGAAGGTCCCTATCACTGTTGCGATGCTCTTTCTGCTGTCCAAGTCCATGACAAACGTAAGGTACTATACCAACGTGAGGACGGCATGCATCCTCAGATGGAGCAGCTCTTGGGATTGTGGGAAGTGAGGAAATTCGTAGAGGTGCAAGGCAGCCGGCACTCACAGGTGTTGCCTGGAGCGAACTTCCTCGGCAAATGTGGGTATAAGGATGCGTTTTCAAGCCCCTGTGCCAGGACGGAGCACGTGCCCCACACGGTGACGGTGCCGATTCCCGGTCCACCTGCTAAGGTCATCACGACCCTCGGCTTGACGATGCTTTGCGGAGGATTGCAACTCATGCCAGTACATAGCACACAAAGCCGGTTTTCCGCTGTTGCTCTGGCTTTTTCATTCTTTTGCATCACCACCAGCAAGGCAGAAAGTGTACGTCAAGCACCATCCGTTCGACTGCACGGAAGGCGCCGGCATCGCAGCCTTGGTTGTGGATGTTGTGGAACGCATGCAAGCGATGAGGGTTTTGCCATGTTTTGCCTCAATTCCAGCAGGCTATGCCAGCTGGAAGACCCTGTGGTCGCACGAGCACCAGCGCTACTGCTGCTACAAGTTGAAGGAGGCCTGCGTGTCGAAGGCCCCTGGGACGCCTCAAGCCACAAATTTCAAGCGCGGGCAGCAGTCGGAGCAGTCGAGCATGCGCATGCACATGTGAATATGGGCATCCTGATGTTGCCTGCCAAGGTCCAGTACAGGTCTCTCGGCTGCAGCATTGCAAGCTGATGCTAAAGGGGCCAGGCGCTGTAGGCCGCTGCCCATCTTGTAGTGACCGAGGAACCACTACAAGACCATCACCCATGTCAAGCACGTGACAGTGCCAGTGAAAGTCAGCGTGCCGGCCCCCCCGCCACGCGAAATCAACCACATCGTGAAGGTTCCTGTCCATGCGGCTCGCTCGCACAGGGTTGTCCTTGGGATGCTTTGTGTTTGCTGATAGATCTAAGCTCCCCAAGGATCCCAGGCCGATCATCAAGATTAAGATGGCTGGCCCGCCCCACGTGGTGAAGCATTACATCACCAAGAAGCACTACGTGCCTGAGCCCGTGCCGTCGCCACCGAAGTACCGCTACAAGCCTGTGGCAGTTCCAGTGAAGGTGCCGGGGAAGGTCGTCCACGTGCCCGTTCCGATGCCCGCTCAGACCATCTACAAGGAGATTCCCATCACCAAGGTGCAGCATGTGATCAAAAAGAAGTACTACGACTGCGTCGCCGGCTTCAAGAACTGGAATTTCGGCTGGTCCAAGACCAAGAAGAGCTGGTGCTGCTCCCACGAGGAGAAAGGTTGCCCCGGCACCTGGAAAGGGGAGGGGCTGACGAAGACGATCGTGACAGGAGTGACGCAGCACCTGGGCCATGGCCAGTACATCCATGGCCACTATGACGATGGCGACTATGGCCATAGCCATGTGCACGTCATCCATCACATCGTGCATCACTACTCCAGCAGCGACGACGACCTGGACATGCCGGACGGAGGTCACGGTGTCAAGCCTGACACCTGGCTGCCCGATTCTGGGGACGGTGGGGACGGTGTCAAGCCTGACACGCTGCCCGATTCTGGCGACGGCGTCAAGCCTGACACGCTGCTGCCCGATTATGGGCACGGTCACAACATGGTCATCGGGGGCGACGAGTCCTCTCTGCCACCGGAGTACCGGCACGGCCACATGTCTGACATGAGCATCGGGGGCGACGATTCCTCCCTGCCACCGGAGTACCGGCACGGTGACATGTCTGACATGAGCATCGGGGGCGACGATTCCTCCCTGCCGCCCGAGTATCGGCACGGTGACATGTCTGACATGGTTGTTGGGGACGACGATTCCTCCCTGCCACCAGAGTATCGGCATGGTGACATGAGCACTGACGATGATGAGTCGCTCCCTCGCAAGCTTCGTGACACGAAGGATGGATAAGCGCTCACAGGACCAGGTTTTGTGGATTCACAGTGTTGTCAAGGCACTACATGATCGCACCTAGACAGCCCAGCAGGACCCAGTGTTTTCGATTGCCCGGACCTGAGGTAAACTTGGCTGTGCTATGCAGAGACTGCTACAGTATGCTGTGCTGAAGAGTGTAGTCGAATGCTTGATGAAGCAGCAGAGCCCTTCCCATGTAGTGAGTGCAGAATCTCTCGTCCTTATCTTCACTATGTGGACAACGGCAAAACACGTGGCGATCTAGCGCGCTGATTCTGAAGCTTGAACTGCAGGTATGTTTCTGGCCCCTTGTGGCTGTTGCAACTCCAAGCTTCGCGCGCGCCGCGTTGCTGGAACTAGATGGTCACTTTGGTTACTTTGGTTCAGGAAACTCAGGGATGTTACCAGTATACTATAGTTCATAGGGAGACTGGCGAAGCTGTGAACCTTGCAAGTGTGAGTCAGGCATCAAGGATGCTCTGATCCTGAGGCTGGCACTTGCATCAAATGTCCGTGACATGAGCATACTGCAAACGGAAGCTAGCTAAGTGCACCAGCCAATCACATGGTTAAAGTCGGCGAATTTAGGTCTTGCCTCCACCCTTCGTCTTCTAATTTAATCGTGCAATATTGGAGCTCTTTTATGCGATCCTCTATGGACTAAATGCTTTTGATTACACAATCGGTTTTTTGAGAATCAAGATGTAACTGCTTTGCACTTAAGTTTTATGAAGCATGCAGGTTCATCAGTAGAGGCAGGGCTTTGGGGCTCCGTTCGTCGGGGGACGCAGATGAGGGTGGTGGGGGCGGTTGGTGAGGGTGGTGACGCTGCCATGAAAGGCAGGGAGTGGGGCGATGATCAAAAATGGGCGAGGGTGGGGGCGGTGGGTGAGCCCAACAAAAGAGTTTGAGGCGGCAGCAGTGGGTGGGGGTGGGGGGTGGGGGGTGGGGGTGGGGTGGGGGGGGTGGTGGGGGTGGGGGTGGGGGGGTGGGGGGTGGGGGTTGGGGGGTGGGGGGTGGTGTGGGGTGGGGTGGTGGGGGGTGGGGGGGGGGGGGGGTGGGGTGGGGGGGGTGGGGGTGGGGGGTGGGGTGGGGTGGGGGTGGGGGTGGGGGTGGTGGGGGGGGGTGGGTGGGGGGCGTGGGTGGGTGTGGGGTGGGGTGGGGGGGGGGGGTGGGGGGGGTGGGGGGGTGGGTGGGGGGTGGGTGGGGTGGGGTGGGGGTGGGGTGGGGGTGGGGTGGGGGTGGGGTGGGGGTGGGGTTATAGAAGTGCTGTTTTGGGCGCTATGTTGCACCAAACCCAAAACCCTAAACGCGAGAGGGAAGGTTGTGTATGCTTGATTGTGTCGCGAGTGAAAGAAAGGCTTACCGTTCAAAACTTTACGGATAAACGAATTCATTCGTTAAACCACATTGCTAGTGCATCTGACAATCTACTAATTCTCGTTCCCCCCCCCCACCCCATGCAGTTGCATCATAAGACTAATCAGCAAAATCAAATGTATCCTTTATGAATTTACTCTGCCCCTTCAGAAAAAACTTGACAGTAGTTAGCGGATGTGGGAGTTTAGTTTTGGACGGTTTGGCTGTTTTGTATGTACTTGGCTGGTTTGAAAGGGTCCGGAATTCTTGACTTGCCCGTTAACAAGTTGGTCCTATACCCGAGGCAAAGCTCATTAAAGACAGATACAATTACATTATATATTTTTTACCATATACACGGACTATATGCTCTATCCTATTTCTCATGCATCCACATACGGGCTAACGCCTAGATGCAGGAGGAAATCTCAAATAAGTCGGGGCCAAAATACATCAATGAGGCGAAAGGATAGGTTCATGTAGACGCTTCGTGAAGCGGACTCCTAATTATCCCTTTGTTGAAGCTGATAGCGATAGCACACAGCTTATATACATCCACATCTCGCATGTTCGCGCCTTGCACGGGCTGGACTTGATGTGCACATGCAGCAAAGTTTGCTTGTGCAGAACTGCGTTTTATGACTCGAGCAGCTCCCGGAGAAAAGAATCTGCCGAGTGACTGCGCGCCAACAGGTGTGATGGGGGCATCTCCTGTTCTGAATGTCTGATTTCGGGGTTATGAAGGTCCAAGCTCCTAGCCGTCGAGGCAGACTCGCTAGCATTTTTTTGTGTACTCTCCAAGGGTTTATGGTTCCGTGTGCGGCTTTTGTTTCTGTGTGCGGCGGGCTCAAAGACAAGGCAAGCGTTTGAGGATTCTGCATGAAAAGCAGGTTGCAACTTGCAATTGCACACGCCAACGGCTCGCAAACTCCGTGGAATCCCTGCTCCTGGGTCGGAAACGGGCGGGGGACTCTGATTGGAAGCCCGGATCTTTCCACGCGGTACAGAAGAAAGGACACCCATGGTAGGATGAGCCCAACGATTTGAGCTGGAACTTCCTAGCCGCCCCTGGCAGTGCCTGGCAGTGCCTGGCAGTGCCTGGTATGATGGACTCCCGAGCACCAGAAGTTCCAGGATCTTTCCCAGCGCCCGCCAAGCATGATTCCAAGAGACAAGGCCTGAGGTGCTGAGAGGTTCGAAACGATTCACCGGTCATCGCTTAGGAACTTCAAAATCTGCATCATGCTTATAAGGAATTGGACTAATTGGACGGCGGGGGGGGGCAGAACTGTTGAGTTGCAAACTGCCGATACCGCCTCGGCCCGGCCAATCAAGGGAAGGGCCCCGTACTGAAGATTTGTCGAGCGGGGTTCAGATCGAGAGTTTCGTGTCGAGGCTTTTGGGCTTCATCGCAGAGGCTGAGGGAGGGATCAAGGATCCAGCAACCCGTAGCATTCAAAGCTTCCAAGCTTCCAAGCTTCCAAGCTTCCAAGCTTCCAAACTGAACGAACGGGGGCGGGTGTTTCTTGAGAGAGTGCGAAAGCTAAGACAGAAGCTCTGGTGTTCTCCGAGCGCTGCATCCTCACGCTTCCTCTTGAGACACTCACCGGAAGCTGAAAAAGACAACAACTCATAGCAGCTCACATACTCTCTTGTCTTGCTTCGCCTTGGGAAGTTCAACTCATCCTGTCGGGGGTGGTTGTCTTTGCGCATTCCCATCATCCCTCGAAGGGTCGTATGCCGTGCTCG